TTCCCACATGTACATAAAAAATTACAATTTTTAAAATAGTCTCCTTCTTTTCACTTTCTCTTTTATAAAATGTGAGAAAGACAAAGTCACCGTGTCATCTATACATACATTACAGAACATTGCGATGACACCAGGAGAGAAATGATGGCATATTTTCTGTATAAAAATTAGAAGGAAACCCTATGTTGAATTCTCCAAAAAATTAGCTTAAAAAAAGACCAGCTTAATTTTCAATTCAATTTTAAATTATACATGCACTTCATCCTTATGGAATGAAAATGAAAGACCCTGAAGATTCATTTGTAATGACTTCAGGTCTTTAAAAATAACTACTGGCTGTTCTTTCTCTCGCCACTGTCCTGTTCTTTGCAATGATTCTGTACCTCTGTGTAGCCATGAACCCAAGCCTCCCCAGGCCACAGTTGTGACACGCACTTGTCATTCACAGACCAAGCCACAGGACACCACTGTTGCATTTGTGCTATAGTAGCATTTCACTTAAGCTGAGGTGAATGTAGAATGAAAAAGAAAAAGGAAAATCTCTTTTTCATGAACAGACATGTGACAATTAAGGTTTAAGATTCAAACCTTATCTTTCCAGCTCTAATTCTTAAAATCCATTTAAATTGGATTTGAACATCATGTATTGAAATTATCCAAATCTCTTATTAATTTCACTCCAGTCAAACACAAATTATTTTGGAACAGTTAAAGAAACGTGAGCACCCACAAATGCTTACTAAGAACAAAGCCCTCTGAGCATTAAGTTCTCACAAGTAGCTGCTATGTTGGCTACGTGAAGTTAATCGCTGTATTTAAACTCATGAGAGCTCTGTGATATATCACTTGCAAAAACCGACAAATAATACATTCACTATCATTGAAACCTAAAAAAAAGTTGTGTTTTTTTTTTTTTAATGGGGCCAATGTATTTTTGAAATCAAAGTGTTGGGTAAATCAAACAATGGTTTTCCTTTGGCTTACCCAAAGATTCTTTATTTGCATTTCTGATTGCACCACACAGTGGATAGTTAGGCTTGGCACCTTAAAATTTCCTTTTGACCCAGTCCCCGACCTTAGCACGTAATCACAGTTTTCTAAATGAACAATTACAGGTCCCAGAGAAACTGACATTTAAAGGGAAACATTCCTTTTGTCTTAGTAGTAAACAATATGTACAGAAAGGTGCTCCCAGAATAGAATACAGCCTATTAAAAAGACAGTTATGAATAGCTGGTCTTTGCATTTAGGAAGTAAACTGTAGTCCCTCAAAGAGACTGTAGTCTAATTAGGAATTCATGACACAGCCATATGAAAAGAAAATAGTGCCCTTAGGTATATGAAGTGCCAAAATATTTTAAAGAGCACAGTTGGGAAGAGGAGAGGGTCGCCAAGGACTGGTGTGGCCAGGAGAGGGGGCAGAACTTGTGGGGGGCCTGCAGGCTCCGTGCCGCCTCCTGGCAGAGTTTCACCTGCCCTCCTCCTGGCCCAGCCAAGCCAGACCCCTTCCTCTGTCAACTCAGCCAGTCCCTGTCTTCTGAAAATTTTAGCTCTTCGACAAATGTTTAGTTATACCTCTTAAAATTTGTTCATTTATTTATTCAACAAATACTAGGCACAAAGAATACAACCCACAAGGTCCTTGTCCCCAGCACCGCAGTCTGATCGATGCATCACACTTACTGCTCACCCGTCACTCTTCCATGGGACTGTGAGCTCTGCAGAGGCCCCAGCACAGAGGGCAGGGCAGACTGTGATAAATGTTGGTTAAATGAATGCGCTGCCAGGATGGGGTGGAGATGGGAAGAGGGGAAGTTAGCACCATGGTCCAGCCCAGGGGTGCAGGGAGCTCGGGTCGGAGGGACACAAGTGGTGATGGGAGAGAAAGGACAGGAAATAAGAGAGCAAAGTGTCCCCGGATGTCCCCTTGCAGCAATAAGGGGGAAATCGAAGCCAAAACCAGCTCCACGGATGGCTTTGTGCAATGGGTTTGTTTGTGCACTAGCTTCTTCACTCATCCTTAGCACCAGCAACCCCTTCAGGTTACAGAAGGGTTACTTGCAGCCCTGAGCCAGCCTAGTAATTGTGAAATAAGCTTGCCTGTGCTGCAGGAAATGTGACCTTGTGAGAAAGGGCACGTCCTTGAAAGATCAGCGTGGAGCAGCCCTTGGTTCGCTGTCAGCAAGCTCAGCGAGGAGAGAGCAGGGTGCTCTCTGTGTGCGGTCACCACACATGTGTCACGGCTCTTCACAGGCATTTGGAGTTTAGGTGACTCTTAGGGGTTCAGTGACTCATAGGATGACATGTGAGCAATACGATGGGCTGAGTGGTTGTAAGGTAATAAATTTGTAAACTTAACTAAAATAGCCTGAGTTTGAATTCAGGATATTGGTTGCCTGAGCAACAGAGAGGTTAGAACAGCAGTAAATTATGGCTCGTCTTATCAAACAGAGCTGTAACTGTTTTACAGAAGGGCACCAGTGCCCCTGATGTTGGCTGCCAAAGACAATTCAGCACTGAGAAATTATCAGCAAGTTGCTATCAAAGGAAAACAGAAGATCACGACCAAGGTCCCAGGTCTGAGTAGGCAGAGGCCATAATTCCAGACAGCACAGAGACGAGAAGCCCCAGGTCCTAACCACCGCCCTTCCTCATCAGTGACCCAGCCGGCAGCTCCCCTGGCCTCCGGGAACCTCAGACTGCCCTCTTGGAGAGAGAGAGCCCGTGGGCTCCAGTGAGCAGATGTCCCTGAAAACACTCTGAAAACAGGGAAACATGCTACAGAAATGCACAGCTGCCCCTAAAAGATGAAAAATAAAATTGGCTGAGGAAGAGCAACAATAAAGCTATAGTATTTTAACGAGAAATACCCATCAGCCAGCAGTTTGGAGGAGTCTGAACAAAACACACACCTTTAGCAACTGGAAAAAAATCATTTTATGTTAACACCCATACTTGACCTTCAGAGACCGGTGCTCTGGGTAAGTTAGACATTCTTGGCAAGGTCCTCCGTGGAAACTCACAGTAGCATAATCATTCTGCTTGGTCTAATTCCAATGGTTGATCCGCTCTGCGAGCACACCACCCTGTCCAGACGCCTCTGTTACTCCCTGGGTGCCTTGCTGGCCGCCTCCTATACACATTCTCTCTCTGCCTTGGGGCCCACGCGAGCTCTCCTCCAGCCACACTGATTTCTGTTGCCCCCCGTGTGCCTCTTACTGGCTGTCTCTCCTTGCAGACTCGGTCAGAGCATCAGCTCATCACCCCATAGAAGCTGCCCTTGCCAAATGGTTGGCTGCACTGTTATCTTGCTCTTGCCCCTTGAGACAGACAGCAAGCTCTTTGGGGAAGGCCCAGGAGGAACCTTGCTTGTCACTACTGACACCACACTCCCCGGGATTCTGCTTGCACAGGTTAGGACCCGTCTGCGAAGGGGGAGGAGGGTGAATCACCGTGAGCTCTTTTACCTCCCATACAGCCCACAGGGCTTAGCACTGATCACCAACCATCCCTGAAGGGGAGACAGTGTTCTCTAGTCTGGGAGGAACTTGGGAACATATATGTATCAGGTATTCACCAAATGTGTGGAGGGAGTGGGCTGAGCCGCCAGGCAGGACCCTGAGCCAGACGGGCAGGGAAGTTGCGGTGGCTGCACTCTCTCCCCTTCTGTGTACCCTGACCAGCTGAGGGCCTGGAGACCGGCGTGGGGAACACTCACGGTGAAAGACATACAGCCATCCAAATGCAGGCATGCAGCAGAGGAACATGCCGACCGAATGGCTGAGTTCACTCTCCTTCCCATCCCAAGTGTAATGAGGACGCAGAGACCAGCACTTCTGCATGCCAGAAGGCCACACAAGTAAGTCCACACACAGGGAGCCATGTCTAGAAGCCTCTCAGACAGAGGACATGTGACTTCTTGTCCTTCCTCAGTTCTGCCACCTTGAATTACATTCACCTGTCTCCCAGAGCACCGAGACAATTCAAACCCATACTAGTAACTCCCAAGTCTGAATAACCTCACTTGCTTGCCAGCCTTTTCTAATTCAAGTATAACAAACACAGTAAAATGCACAGGTTGTAAGTAGTCACCCTGATAAGTTTTGGCAATTGTGTATACCCGTGGAACCCCGACTTTGATCGAAATACAGAATTTTTGCAGGTCCCGTGGCAGATGGAGCACAAGGTCCCCACTTAGGCTGGGAGTTGCTGAGCTTCCCTAGGCGTCACCCATCCATTTGCTCCTCCTTTCCAATGGTCTAGCTTTTAAGTCAACTTAATACATAAATCACTTACATTGTGCCCAATACTGCAGGAACCATAAAACATAGCCTCTCCCACAGAGAGCTCGGGTGTAATGAAGGGGAATTTGGAGTTAGGAGAGCGAGTGAGGGGGCCTGGAGTCAGAGGACAAAGGGCAGTGGAAGTCAACACTTTGCATCTGCAGAAACCAGTGATGCCAGTGAGAAAGCCGGTCAGGGAAGTGCAGGGCTGGCCCTACAGAGGGAGGTAGAGGTGACGTGGGACTGGCAGGGAGAGACCCATGGACTGGCAGGGAGAGACCCATGAACACCGCGTTCTGGAGGAGCAGCTAGGAGAGTCCGTTAAGTCACAGGACGTTGTTAATGCCTGAGAGCTGACCTGATCTGACACAGGTAGCTCCTTATTCTAAGTAAGATTAGATCCAAGCTTAAACTTCAGTTTCAGTTTAATACATGAGATAACGCAGCCAGGAGTTTCCACAGTACCCTGGGGTCAGGGATGCCCCCGAGGTCCTTTCCCATTTGCCAACCCGAGGAACTTGGCTCCGATCTGTTTTATTAGTACTGCTTATGCAGATTTTTAAAAATGAATATCCAAGTTTGAAAACCCAAGGATTAGGTTTCTTTCCCTTGCAGTGTTAAACTGTCTCCCCTCCTTCTGAGTCCAACCCACCCTGCCCCACCCACATCTCTGACTCATTAACCGCATGTGTCAGTCTCCCTGTTCGGGTGGCCTACCTGTTGCCGTTCACCAGGACTCAGACAGAACTAGATCTCAGCCTCCTTTTCTGTGGTCTCCTTCGCTGCCTTGGGGATATCAACTCTCATTTCTGGGCAAAAGACACGTGGCTCTGTCGGTTCAGCTTGACTTGTATTCAGCACTCCCGCCCGGCGTCTCTGCTGCCTGCTTGCTCTGCCCAAGCCTCCTCCACCAGCTGGAGAGAAGTAACTCGAATTACTCCACTCCTTAGCCCCCTGCCGAGCTACGGGCCAAAGTGAGGCTCTTAGCTTGCTGCATTACCATGTCCTCGGTTTCCAGGCCCTGCACAAGGGTGTGAGGCCACTTCCAGGCATGGGTGACCCAGGGGAGCAGCAGCAGCCGGTTCGCCACACCCGCTTGGAGGTTGCAGCCCCCTGGTGCACGCTGCCCTCTGGGGGAGGCACTGCCTTCTGCTTCCCAAGACACAGGCAGAGACGGGAAACCCTCACAACAAGATCCAGGTGCAGCATGACCCATTTTTACAAAACAAACACACGTGTCTCTTTTTCATTTAGTCAAAGATATTCATGGAATGCTGCGGCTGCCCTAACAAGTCACCACAACCCGGGTGGCTTCAAACTGCACAACTCTATTCTCTCGTGGCCCTGGAGGCTGTAAGTCTGAATCAGTGTCCCTGGGCTGCAAGCCAGTGGCAGCTGGGCTGTGCTCACTCCCGAGGACTTAGCAGAGAACCTTCCTTTGCCGCTTTTTGCTTGTGGTAGTTGCTGGTCTTCCTGGGCTGCGGCATCCTCACTGCTGTTTGAAGGCCAGCATCTCCCCATCTCCCTCTGCACTGTGTCCACAGTCCTTCCCCCTCCATGTGTCTGTTAAATCTGTCTCCTTCTTATAAGCATACATGTGATCACATTTGGGGCTCACTGCATAGTCCAGGATAATCTCCTCAGCTCAGGATCCTTAATCACATTTGCAAAGACCCTGCATCTACAGAAGGCAACAGTGATGGGTTCCAGGGATCATGGTGTGGGTCACTGGGGGGCCATGTTCACAGATCACTCACAAACACCTGTTGCGTGTCTGGCCCTCTGGTCAGTGCTGGGGATAAGGCAGGAACAGGGACACAACATCAAAGATCTCTGTCCTCATGGGACTTCATCCCAGTTAGACCTGAGCAAGGTCAATAACGAAAGCTAGGTTTGTCAGCGCACCATGCCATTGGGAAAATCAAGCAGGAGAAAGGGGGTGCGGGTGTCAGGGTATGGACGGTGCTCATGTTAGGGTGGTCTGGGGGAGCCTCAAGGAGAACGTGATGCCGGAACAAAGAGCTGATAAAGCGAGGAAGCATGGTAAGAGGGGAGGCCTGGGGGGCACTGTCAGAGCAAGGAAACAGCCAGGCCAGTGCCCCAAGGAAGAGCAGCCCCCCAAGGTGCTGGAGCTGAGGGAACAGGGGCTGAGCCTTAGGGACAGAGACGGAGGCCCTGGGAGACCCAGGTTCTGTCGGACAGGGTCTCAGACTTGGAGCTGCGTCAGAATTCCCTGGAGCATTTGTCAAAACAGAGCCCGAGGCCTCGCCTCCAGAAATTGTGATGCAGGAGGTCTGGGGTGAGGCCAAGAATCTGCGTTTCTAGCAGCTGCCTGGTGCTTCTGCTGCTGTTCCATCACCACGCTGTGTAGGCAATGACTCATGGCCTTTGCGCTTGTGTTTCCTTCTGCCTGGAGCACCCCTCTCCCAGCTGGCCCCATGAATTGCTCTCTCACTTCCTAAAGGTTTTAATTTTCATATTACCTTTGCAATGAGGTCTTCGCATAGACAATTCCAAGCTCCTCCTCTACTGACATATGCTGTCCTCCACCCTGCTTTCTCCATGGGGTCTCTCATCTGTACTCAGCCTGGGGCTGCTATAATAAAGCACCACAACCAAGCGGCTTAGAGCAACAAATTTTTCTCTCAATTCTGGGTGTCAGAAATCCAGAATTAAGTTATTGATTGGCATGGATTCCTGCAGGAGGATCTGAGGGAGAAATCTTCCTACAGTCCCTCCCAGCTTCTAGTGGTTACTGGAAATTCTTGGTGATCTTGGCTTATAGCCCCATCGTTCTGACCTCTGCATCCTTCTTCCCTCTGTGTCTGGGTCTTCACATGGCCTTCCTCTAAGGACACCAGTCACCAAATACAGGCCCTAATCCAGTATGACCTCCTCTTAATTCAACTAATGATATCTGCAAAGACCCTATTCCAAATAAGGTCACAATCTGAAGTTCTATGTTGGCATGAATTTGGGGGGACACTAGTCAGTCCAGCATATCACCCTTTAACACACAATATTTCAAGTTTATTTTGCTTATCTTCTAGGCCCTCTCCCCATGCAAGTGTTCCTGCTATAAGTTTCATAAAGCCTGGGGATTTTTTCATTCTTTAAAAATCAGCAGTGACTAGAGAGTCTAGCACTTAAAAGACATCCATTAATATGTGTTGGTTCAGTAAGTGAAGGCAACTTAGAAAAACAGTGCTTTAACAAACTATGGCATGAGTGCAACAAGACTGAGAATTCCCAGAGTGTTAAAAAGTGAGGGTGCTGAGGAAGGGGAAGCCCAGGGAGGCTGCTTTCACCTGTTCTGAAAGTGAGGTGGACAGTGCTTCATCATCCGTATCTGATGGATACGTTTACTGGAATCAGGACCAGAAATTTAGCCACAGGAATCACAGGTGACTTCGACAAAAGCCATTTTGGTGGAATGTTGGAAGTAAAGTCCTGATCAAATGCATGGAAAATCATCCGAGATACTCTCACACCAAGATAATAGTGGTTGTTTCTGTGTGGCTACAGATACTGCCAAATCATTATTATCTTCTCTTTGCTTGACCATACCCCCTTTTAGTGTAATGAACATCAGCTGATTTTATAAAACAAGAGGTAATTTAAAAATCACATAAAATAGCCATAAACCATAATTTTACTAGTTGATAAAGAAAACGTTATCTAGAATTTTTCAGGGTTAAAACACTATTTGTCCAAATTATTTTTAACCTGCTTTGCTTACCCGAATGTCTTCATGAAGCTCTAGAATTGGGCAAAATTGATTACAAATGACCAATTCATAGTTTTAAAGTTTTTGTGCATAATATAAAAATGCCTTTCATGATTTACTTTAGCAATCCACTATTGTCTGACTTCTGAGTTGTTTGCAACTGAATTCCTATTGTTGGACATTTTGGTTGCTTCCAGCTTGTCTCTAACAAAACAACACAGACCAGAATAACTGGATGAAAATAAATTATAAATAAAGGAGAGGGAAAAAGGCATAAAACGACTGGACAAATTCTGGAAACAGACTAAATTGCTTTAAGAAATACAAGGTTTAAAAATGCCCCTTGGTGCAAAAAATTTATCAATATGTGCAATAAAAACAACAAAACCCAAACCAACAGTGATTAAACATTATTCATTTTCAACCAACTTACTGTTATTTTTAGAAATTATTGACTCAACTAAGTTATTTCAACAAAATCACGTGCATGTCACCTTCTGGGCCAATGCTTATGTAGTCACTTAGGTTATTCATGATTGTCCAGCGCTGTAAGCTAAAAGAATCTTTATCTCAATATTTGCAAGATTGCCTTCTAAAACCTAGTACCTTTCTCCCAAATCCCAAATGTGATTTATTCCTCCAGAGCCCACCAGCAAGGCAACATCTGACTGGGTTTCATTCCTAGTCTCTGGGGAGTGAATTCAGTCCTTTCTCTTCCACGGTGATCATGAGATCCCACAGTGGCCTGTGCAGAAGGGGAGAAAATGGGGGGTGTCTGTGCTCCAGCATCCAAAACTTCCCTGATAAGAGGCCAGTGTATCTTTCAAAACAACTTCATGAGCAGAAGCTTTTGTGCTCTTAAAATTCAGCCATAAAAAATAAGTTATCTCCATTACTGTGAAGGGGATATTTAAAAAGCCTGTGAGCTAGTATTGGTTATCATCCATAGAATCTGGAATTTAAATCTTCTACCAAAACCGAAACCAAACCAGACAAAAACAATACCTTGCAAACAGAAAAAGACAACCTGCACAAGTTGTGAGTTTTCAAGCTGAATTATAAGCTAAGATTGTTAAGAACAGGAAGCAGTGATGCTGCAAATGTGGCATCCATCCTTGTCCCAGAGGGTCACTGATCACCTCGCCCAGGCCCACCTCACTCACATGACAGGAGTCCTACACTCGGCTGCCAGTCAAGCCCAACCAGGAGACCCAGGGTTGAGCTGCTGCTCAGATGTTGAAAATCACATCAACAAACATCACACCTGCTAGCTGGAGGAACAAGGGCGTCTCCGGCCCCAAAACAGGCTGTGAGCTTGCACTGAGTTTTATTAATCTTGGGATCCCCGGCCAGTGCCCACCAGGAATGGGATAATGCAGCAAAATGAAGCTGTTACCCCTTCCCTTTCTGTGCAGTGATTCTCCAGGGTTTTGTTCCACTGCGTTGCTGAAGTTTCTTAAATGGAAACTCTCCCTGAGCTGTTTCTGGCCATGGATAGCTAATTGTTGATCTTTGTGCAGTGATGGAGGCTGGGGTCCCCTGCTTTGCCATCATAGTCTTGCTGGAGTTCATCTTTGCTGGAGTATCAGAAGATTAGAGGGTAGTGGGGGGAAGGAGATATTTTTTAATGCACCTTGAAATGACCAGACTCCTTGTCGAAATTTCAGACTTCAAGAACAGTTTTCAGGAAAAGAAATAATTTGTGTGACTAAGTCTGAGTATGTGTGTCTTATGATTTTGAATTTGATCAGAGCTTTATTATGATCAACTAGATAGAGGAGATGTTTTCTCTTTGGGCAGCCATTTCCAGACTTCCAGCGTCCTTTCCTAAATGCAGACCCAGCTTTGTCAAACCTGATGGACATTTCAGTCCGCACGGCTTCTCATCACCACTTTGCAATTTGGGGAGATGCACTGCTGATAAGAAAATGGGCTGAACATTGAATCAATAATGGCTACATAGATATTCTGTGGTTGTATAAATAAACCTGCTTTTAGTGAACTATATTTTCAGCTTATGACAGCAGCAACTTTTATAAATGCTCTTTTGGGAAATACCCTCAATAAATAATAGGTTGGAAAAGAGTTTTGTGAACTCAATACTCACTACATGAAGTCACAGAAGACAGACTATTTAATATCAGTTTTCAACTGCCTTTCTATTTTCAAGGTAATAAACTGTCCTACTAATTGAACTTGAGATTCACCTTTCAATTACCAATCAAATTGCAGAGCCAATGGCTAGGCAGGTCAAAGTGAAATAATGTTCCGTCAGTCGTGTTGAAAGCGAGATACTCTTTGTTCCGCCATTTGTGGGCCCCAGAGCTCCGCGGCCTTTGTGAATCTCCTTGGCAGTGTCTGAGGACATGGAAATCCCAAAGCATCTCAGGATAGAACCTAGGGAGAGAGAATAAGACAGACAGGGTTGTTCTTTTACTGCCTTTCCCCTTGCTTTCTTACAGGACGTGAAAACAGTCTTCATGTGACAGAATGAATTAAAGAGGCCTGTGTTTATTCTCCCCGATGCTGACACGGAGGGAAGCGAAGGGTGTGGTGGTAAATAACTACATAATTGAAATCACCCTGCTTCTTCTGTAGCGGCTTCAGATTCATTGAGACAGATTACACCCCCGTGTGTAAATCACTTTGTAAAAGTGAACCAGGCAGTTTTCCATAATTCCTTGAGGCCTCTGGGGTACAGTTTAATTCACTAAAGCAATAATTTACTATTAAGGGGGCCTCTTGAGGTGACTTTTTCCTGGGGAACCGTCTCCTCATTGGGAGACCCGTTGTTGTGCAGCGGTAAAGAAACCTGCCTCGCTTCCCTCTGTCTTGTCTCCCTTATTTATATGTCCAAAAGGGGAGTCTTCCAGCTCCCGGCTAGGAAGGCGGAGAGCCGGGTCTGCGTTTTGGGCAAGAGGAGGCATTTTCTAGTCTCAGGAATGACAAGGAGGCCCAACGTGACGGACACCATTTGTCTCGGCATTGGATTCAGCAGCATGGGCCCCTTCACTGGGGCTTTAGCAGTTCGAGGAGCGGCCAGCCTAGGGCCCTGGTCCTTAGGTTCTCTATGAAATTGTGAATATCAAACACTGATTTCCTAAGACATTTAATTTGCATTTTTGTTTGATTTAGGAACGGGACCATATTTTAAATGTGACTTGCAAAGATGGTAATAACTGGTTGTTCACTTCATCCTTACCTGCTGAAATGAGGACGCTGAATTTGGGGGATAATAGTTCCATATTTATAAAATCGTGCACTGAAATTAAGAAGACCTGTTTAAGAATAGGTGGCTTAAGTTTACTTAAAATGTAATTACTTTTGGCCATTGTGATTTTGTTCCTCTTTCATGGACGAAGACAAGAATTCTACAAACAATGCCAGTCAGTGGAACCTAATATTCAAGAGAGGATTTGGGTGGTTCAAGGCGAAATTAAATCACATGCTTGGGTAGGCTGCATTATAAGCAACCGAGCTTAATTCTCCATTTCCTAGTTTCTCATTTCTTCCGCAGCAGCGGTACATCTCCTTCTCATTGGCAGCTGGTGGTGTAATCGCAGGTCTGATGCCCAGTCTCCTAATGGCTCTGTAATCCTGCCTTCACACCTACATTTTTCTACTTCTTTATTAAGTCACCAGGATTTGGACAACCTTTCTCCTGTGCCTCTTTTTCTCTTCTCACGGCTCTCCTGTTTTACTTTTGAATTTAATTTCTTCTCTCTAGCCGTTTCTCATTATGTGATTCAAAGACTCAGTGAGACCAAGAAAAGGAGACTACGCAGGAATTGCACCCTCATAATCCCCATGAAACCAAGGTTCACAGCTTTATTTAGAAGTCCTGGGGACACGTCGTTAAGCAACAGCAGAGGGGTAAGTCGGTAAGGGCTGAAAATTGTCCCGAGCTGTTTTAGAAAACTGGTCTTGATTCCAGTGGAGATGTTTAACCAGTAGCAAAAGGCCCAGAAAATGATTACAAAACCATGTGCAAATCAAATTCAGATTTGTAAATTTATCAAAATCATCCCTCCTCCCAGTAGGGCTCTGGAAACCCTGCCCACCCCCACCCCCCATTGCCTTTCAGGAGCTGTGTGCCCCGGGGCCAACCTGGGGCAGAACACCTGAAGGGAGCTCACCTCGTCCTGCTGCGGATGGGGGCTCTGTGTGAGCCCCGCAGAGGAGGTGAGAGGGGCAGGGGAGCAGAAAGATGCCCACTCCTCAAGAGCATTCTCTGCAGAGACAAATCAGAAAACAGGCCTGGCAGCAGCCCCACATCCACCAGACAAGAAACCCAGGAAATCAGACACACCCGAAGGTGGGTGGGGATCTAGAAGTACCACTTCTAGACTTAGGTGGGGGTGGAGGTGCACATAGGTATTGAATTGGTCAGATGGAAAATATATGTACATATATATATATACACATAAGCATTTATCTTTATCTGCATATACATACACACATATATGCTGTAACTATGGCAGTAAGACCTTCACAGTCTTGCATCACATTGAGGGCTATTGGCAAGTGGCCCCTAAATGTGTCCCTTCACCTTCTCTTATATGTCCAATGTGAAACCCACTGGCCACAGACTCATGCAGGTTCTCAAGTTATACTCTTGAATTTCAGCTCCACTGCTTACTAACCTCAGCTTCCTCATCTATAAAATGGGTATAATGTTAGTTCTATGAGGTGGGCTGCATTATTAGCAACGTCATCAAATAAGAAAACACATGAAATCAACTGAGTATAGTACTTTGCACACATAGGAAACACTGCCAACAACCCTTGGAAAGTCTTCGGCATCCAGGCGTCCTGTAAAGAGCAAGCCCCTCTAGCTGGTCCTTTGGCGGCTGTGCAGCCCCGTGGGCTCAGTCCGAGCAGCCACGTTCATGCCAAGCATATGCTAGATTTTTCCTAATAATCCCAGAAGCAACTGAGGCTTGTATTTTCTCCAGCTCGGCATGAGTGTGGAATCCGCACCAACATGCCTTCAGCAGGGTGGACGTGCCTGGTGACATAATTTATCAGTGTCAGCAGAGTAGCTGGATTTGATGGTGCCACTACTTCGGGAAAATAACCCATTACTTCCTGACTTGGAGGATGCAGATCTGTGGAAGTCTGAATTGCTTTTAGACCTTTGCAGTGACTGCAAGCATGGCATTTTTCAAATACCTAATAATATAGTAGTACTTTACATAATTGCCTTCTTTAACATTTGTGGGAAACTATAAATAGTCCTCTTAATATGCACAGAAATACTTTTATTCCAGATGTTCCCCTGGGGAAGGGGTTTGAGCTATAATTGCCCTGCTATCTCAGAAGCACTGAGATGTGGAAACCTCACAGGCACGTTCTTTTCTTTCGCCTCCTACAGATTCCCACATCCCCATCCTCTGCGCTGGTTCAAGACGACCTGATCTCCCGTCGCTGCAGGCTCCGGGCGCCTGTAGCCACTCCCCGCGCTTTCTGATTTCTGGAATAAACCTCAAGCAAAGCCTTCTGGGAGGAAGGCTCTAACTATGCTTCTGGAAAGGGAGGTTTCCCCGATCATTTGACTCCTTGCTTCCGCTTTTAAAGGAACCCACTACTGGAGGTGGGTTGAGTGAAGACTTCCCACTATTACTTACTGAGGTTCACTTTTCCTGATACTGAGTTTTTATGACTAGTTACAGTACCCCCGACGTGTCCATCTAGCAATTTTTCTCCACAATTTGGATTAGAACCTTGGCCAATAATTACTCTGAACTTTTTATAGGCTGAACTAAAGTTTGTAGGACTATTTCAATGGACTCATGTCTACTAGAATCAGAAGCATATTTTAAATCATGTTGGCCCTAATTTGCCCTCCTCCATGCATTCTAAGTGCATCTCTGAAGGCACCATGCACCTGCTTGTTCCCACGCTGGGCATGCGACTGGGGAGCGGGCAGAGCCAGGTGGGCTTGGAGGGAGGGTGTGGAGCTTCTGGGCCTCATCCATAAACTCTATGGACGGACAGAAGGGCTGCTTTCTGACTCCCGGGAAGTGTCAGGAACTCTGTCAGGAGCATTGGTATCAGGCAGAGCCCCAAGGAAGTCTCAGATTTGAGGATGTTTTCAGTAACCCAGCACTTCATACTGCTCCCAGGAAGTCTTTGGGCCCCCACAGCTGCAGATGCTCCACAGCTGGGTTAACACAAATTGATTTCCAGATGCCCAGCTTCCTTGGGAATCTGCTGGGATGGACATGACTGAGGAAGGACCAGGTCTCCTCTGTCAACCTCTCTTTTTCACCCTGCTTACAGAAGAAGCGCACTTCTCATGGGTACCTCAGCAAATAAAAACTAGAGGGCCAAGTCCAGTGCAATCTGACATATTAGTATGTAATGAAGCATCATACATGTGCTGTCTGCATACATTTCTGTTAAAGGGAAGCATAGCTTCGAGCTGGAGGTTTTAGTCCAAGTTAGGTGTTCCAACTATTTTAAAGCTCTCTCCTTTATCCGCAGTTGACAGAGCCCTTGCCCCTAGCGGAAAAACGAGCATGGAGGGAAATCGGCTGCGGAGCAGGGCTCTCTGCTTGCCTCCCCTGCCCTCTGTGAAGTGAGGTGTTATCCTTGGGACACATCTAACATGTTCATATGAATAGAGACAGGAAGGCAGAGTCTTTCAAATAGATAACCTAAGTCTAATGCAGCTGATTGATTAGACAATGGAGAGTGACTGTCAATTCATTCATATGACAGCCATTACTTGTAAATTAAATGAGCTAAATGGTTGCTCCAAAGTCTTGAATAAAATAAATTTAAAGCCCTTGATAAGTAAAAGCATTTTATCAAAAGTATTCTACTGGTAAAGGCACACAAATTAATAGTATTTAGATTTTCTTAAATCTTTCTGGATGAAATAAAATGCCAAAGTGAATGAATAATAGGTATAATTAATCATCATTTGCTAAGTCTTAGTACAGCCTTTGGGTTATATTTTCCCCAACTTAAGAAATTAAATGACTCTAATGATTGAATAACAATCTTTGTAAATCAGATGGTGTCCTTTTATTCTTTTGGGTTGGGGGGGCTTTTAAAAAAATTGAAGGAAGAGGACCTAATCGAGTTGTCAAGTGATGGATTAATGAAAATAATTTTTGAAGATGGATTAGTATGTGATTTTTTAAATACCCCTTGGAAGGAGTTCAAAGAATTGCACGCCATTGCTGTTAACGAAATGCCTGCTATTTATTTATGGGAGCAGAGAGTTCTAAGACCTACATATGTAAAAATGAAAAACTAGGAATAGAGCCGAAGCTGAACACACAAGTCATGTTCAATATGGACAAATCCATCTCTAAGAGGGGCATTTCCAATGGCATTTTACTCTTCTAGGTAATAATTGTGTATCAACCTTTCAAATATACTTATGTTGTTTTGATCAGCTGTGAACTAATAATAATTGTCTCAATAACTCTATCTAGATAAAAAAGAATGCTTAGTGCCTTAGGGCAGCTAGAAATTTAAACCGTTTAAAATTCCAATTTAGATACATAAATCTGTGACAAAGAAGGACAATAAGGTGATCAAATACTACTTTGAAGTACACAGATGTCACATGGGGATAAAATCTGTGGGCAAAGCAGAATGGAAACGTAGGTTTAAGAAGAAAAAGGAACGTAATAGATGTTCCAAGAGTTAAACAAGAGTGGTTCGCATCCTCTTCAAATAAAGGATGGACGTTTTCAACTCTTCTGGCAGTTGGGCATCATTATGTATACTTCAAAGAGTTCTGTCAACAGCTTGTTTTTCAAAGACCACTATTTACAACACAGTGGAAAGTCCATCTTTTGTGACTATTGTAACTTGTGATGAAAATTTTAAATGTCAACTACTAAATGTGTGAGGGGCTATCTAGTTTGTTTTATTTATTACATAAGTTACAGGAGAAAACTTGTAAATTCTCTGCTCCAGGAGACTCAGGTTTCTTGGTATAAGACAGCACAGTTTCTCTCTCTCCTTCCCCACGGTAAGAAGCAGCCTGTCTCTCTGGGCCACGTGGGACTAAATGTGCCCTTTCGAGCTACCTGAGCGTCTTTAAGCTTGAGCACGCGGAGTCCCTGTTAAAGGGAAAACATCATCTGGATCCTTATTGTTGGCTTCTATTATTTCTATAGCAATGTTATTTACAACTGCAAAACTCCATATTTAACCCTTGTACTCATAGCCCTTACACACTGATTTATAAAACCAAATTTACAAGTGAAAAATAAACCAAAAAACCAACAAAATGAGAAGTTTAGTTAACACAACTCTTTGCTAAAGCTCAGCTGCTCCTTTCCATGGGAACACAGCACAGATCGCCCAGGGCAGTGATTTTGATTCACTGTTTTGCTTTCATTCTGACATACCCATATTCCTGGGGGCCAAAGAATGACCCCATTTGCCTCCCCTTTTCTCTGTTCAACTACAGTCAGATCTTTGCGGACAGGCAGCACAGGTGATGTCACTGAGGATGCCACTAGGTGGTGTTACTGGGTGTCACCTAGTGAGAACCCTCCTTTACCAGATCCCATGTTCCTATCTCAATAGTCCAGGGAAATCAAATGCTCTGAGGTGGCAAACAAATTGTAAATAGGAATGTAGACGCCTCACTCCTGGAGTGGGACTTAGTTCTAAAGTGGTCATCAAATGACCCTGCATTCACTTCCATTAAGATTTTTTTTTAGGTTAGCAACAAAATGAATACTATTATGGAGAACTTATGGGGCCCATCACATCCCTGGACTCTCGGAGTTCCATACTTGGATGCCAGTTTGAGACGCAGACAGCACCATCTCCGCTACTACCTCCAACCTGAGCACAGGCAAATCTTACTAATGTAGGCAGGTCCAAGAAGACATGGAGGAAAGAGGTCATGGAAAGTTCTTCCAATCTGACCCATATAAGTAACTCAGAGCAAAGGCTCACTGTGCCTGGCAAAGTGCTTGGCACTTGGGGTAAGAACTCCACCATTTGTTTGTTAAAGTGATTTGAATAAAGGATCTAAGTTAATAAGTCACCTGTGATGGGCCTCTGATGATTGGCTTTGTTTCTAAATACCCCAAGATAGGTTCCTGGGCTTCTCCCCTCGATCCCAATGCCCAGACTGCTGTGGTTCCTGATGCCTCCTGTATACATAAATAAACATAAGATATGAAATAATAGCAATAGTAGCTATGAGTTACATATATGTTATATGTCATGTAGTATGTACAATCATAATATAATATATATACATAAAATAAAAACATAGACATTGTGGGGGTGTGCCCTGATACACTCAACTTGAAGACTCAAGTCATACTAGAATTTTTCAGTGCTTGGTATATTTTGGGCCTTCAGTATCCTGGCAACCTTACTTCTTCCAACTACATTCTCAAAGCCCAATTCACGTGCATCTGCAATCAACTTTCTCGTATGCCATGTGGTCCAGGGTAAACACACAGGCCTTAGAGCTACATCACTTTGGCTCAAATCTCTCCCTTCTGACTTGATTTGCTCTCTGGCTTGAGAAAGTCACTGAGCCTTAGCTCTCTTATTTAAAAAATGATTGCTGAGGGGATTAAGTGAACTAATTCACAAAAAGTTTTTAGCACAATGCCTGGCACAGAACCACTCAATAAATAATAGCTGTTCTTCTGTCACTAGTTTCTAAAATATAAGTTCACTCATGGTTTCAGGAATAAAGTTCTCTGGATGAGTTTGCAAGCCTTTATGAGATGCAATCCCTTTCCTATAGCTTAACTTCCTCCTGGGCCCTTGCAGCGCGTTGGCACGGTACTGGGTACACTGCCGGGTGAGGCCTCGGAACCCAAGCAGCCGGCCCAGCGTGCTGTATGAAGGCACACAGCAGTCACAGGGGCAGAAAAAAGGGGGGGTGTCAGCTCTGCTCTTAAGAAATAGTGGGTGGATGTATCACCTGAAATAAGACAAGATTCTGCGGGACTCCAAACTAAGCTTGCTCATTGGGGCCTCCGGACCTTCTGATATGCAAAACTGAATTCTCTCAAGCCTGACCAGTCAGTCCTTTTTGCACTTTTCAATGACAGGATTTTACTTTTAAATTACAGAAATTCCAAAAGACTCTGAATTGAAATCTCTGAACCCAAAGAGGACTGACTGGGTTGAACAGGAAGGAGCACTAAACTAAGGAGACATGGGTCCCAGCCTTGACATTGCACAGCCTGGCTGTGTGATCTTGGATAACCCACTGCCCCACTCTGGAACTCAGTTTTCTCTTCTATCAAGTGAGAAGATGGAACTCCAAGGTTTTAGGCTCCCATCATTCTCAAAGGAATAAGCAGTCTCTTTGTAATCACAAGGATAAAGTAATGAGAGCATTTATAGGACTATAGTTCACAAAGCACTATCTCAGTTGGTTCCTTCAACAGTGCTATGAGGTGTTACCATTATTCCCAAGTTATGAATGGGACTTTTGTAATTCTGAGAAATGAAGTAATAAGTAAAGCTATATTGCCACTGAGCTAAGAGGAGATTCAGATGCTTTCTATCAGGGACGCCGGATTTCTAAATTTTCTCTCAATGTGTCACCATTTGATTATAGGAGACATTTCTTTACACTTCAAATACAGAAAATGCACTTTATCCTCACTACCTGCCTCTTCACATGGCTATGGATTCTACAAGGCAGATCATTTATTCGTTCATTAGCTCATTTCACCAGCATGTATTGGCCACGTCAGTAGAGCAGCATTCAAAGTGCTACGTGGGTATACAAGAGAGCATTGAGTGTCAGTTGTTTCCAGGCAGCTGGGAAAAAATGCTTATAGTCTCCAGGTCTCTGCAGTCACTGATAGAGACCAGAACTTAGCCCAGCGTCTGCAGCACAGTGGATGGGCAAACGAATGAATGGAGCAGGGAAGCCCAGTTCTGGGGTCATTTAATCATGATCAGCCTCTTCAGGGAAGGTTCCCCTTCTGATCACCACTCAGAGCTTCTTCCTCTCCACTCCTGTTCTCATAGCACTTACCACATCGTGATTGTTTTCCTTTGGTTTTATATTTTTACCAAAGTCATACATATATGTATGTATATGTTAAAAATCAAATAGCACCCAAAGGCTGGTAATAAATCACAGCAGTCCCTCTGCTCCCTGCCCCTTGCCCCGCCCTCTAGTTCCAATACCTGGAGGCGACCCCTTTGAACTCATAGCTGTTGCCTCTGGTCATTGCCTTCACGTAACTACATAATATGCTTACATGGCCTGTTCTTGATTTATCCATTTAGATGGTATCATCTGTTATGATGGATTACTATTTTAAATTAACTCATATTCTTATGACTATATGAATATTACTGATTTTGTTTCAAATACTCCGTCAGTTCTGCCATCATCTGTCTTTAATGTTGCCCTGGTGACCTCCTAGCCTATATTCTAGGGAGTCCCCTTCTTCCCAGTCTTCTCTCCCTGAGCTCTCAGGTTGACCCTGCAGCCCTTCAGTCTCTTTGAAAACTCCGAGCACCCTTTTCCTGGGCTACACTTCCTCTTTCCTGCATCTCATTTCTTTGTCTTTTTGGTTTACTCTTTCATCTTTCCAGAGCATAACTTCCACTCACTTCCTGTTACAGAATGAATGGGAGGTAAAGATTCTTCTGTCCTAAGTCTGAAAATCTATTTTGCCTCATATTTGAAAGAGTTTAGCAGGGAACCAAGTTCTAGATTGAATTCCTTTTTCTCAGGATTTAGAAAGTACTGCACCGCAATCTTCTGCATCCAATGTTGAGAAGCCTGATGCCAACTATTTTTTTCTGCTTGGAGAGCTTTTAGGAACATTCCTTTATCTCTGTTGTCCCCAGCAATGTCCCTTGGTGTGGATCTTTTCCCTTTGTTGTGCTGGGTATTCCATCAGCTCTTTCTATGTGGAGACATACGTCCCAGTTCTAGAAAATGCTCCATCATTTTTTTTCCCTGCCCATTTTCTCTGCTCTGTCATTCTGAAGCTCCTGTTAGTCAGATGTTGGACCTTCACAAATAAACTCAGAGGCAAGAAAACATTGCTGCTTTAAAACAAGGCTACAGGGCTATAAAATGGTGATAATTAAGGATTAAGAATTAAGCATATTTTCATTTGGCTCTTTTAAATTTAAAAGAGCCAAATGAAAATATGCAACACGGGGGTCTGTAGGTAAAGTTGAATAAATTACTACAAATAATAAAAGAATGGAAAATATGAGAGAAAAGTTGAGACAGGGATGGTCTCCAGGATGGGATTTGTTGATGGTCCCTCAGAAGGAACTAGCTGTGCTGACACCTTGACCTTGAAATTCTAGCCTCCATAACTGTGAGACAGTAAATTTCTTTTGTTTAAGCCACCCAGTTTGTGGTACCTTGTTACAGCATACCTAGAAAACCAATACAATGACTGTACATTATAATTTTAAATATATATATATATATTCAATTGTGCCTGTGTATATTAAACAGATACATTAAAATATATATATTTTAACATTAGAAGGGGGAGGTTTAATGTACTTATTCTGCCACCTTTCTCAGAAATCTGTCACATTACTAGTTTACTCATCTGCGCACTGATTATGCACTCTTTGAGCTGTGGTTTTGCTTAATTCCCATTTGTAACCACAGTGCCTGGTCCCGAGAAAGGGCTTAATAAGTGTTTTGTGAACAAATGACTTAATGGGCTGAGAAAGTGAGGCAATGACCAATATGATGCATGGTTATTCAGGGAAGGCTTCTAGAAACAGATAAAAAATACTGAACAATTGGCTCTGATATATGTTTTCATAGTTTTTCTAATGAATGCACTAGTGAACAATCTCTTACCGAAGGACTTACCTTATTGACTAGGCTGTTAACTCCCCAAATAGGCAGTCCAAGAATTAGGCATATGTCATATTCCATATCCTCTGGATGACCTCACCGCTGACCTTTCTGTCCTTCCCCGAACGCTTTTTTTCACTCAGTAATGAATTCCTTCAACAGGTAGCTCTGAAGCAGTCACAGGTACTTACCGAGCACAAACTGTGTGTCAGGAAGTTAGCTGTGAACAACAGAGAGAAGTTCTCCTCTTGTGGACCTTGAGAAGAGTAACAAATAGTTATGTTAAAAGGCTCCAGCGCCTAGTTTATTTACCACATAAAGACTGTACAGACTTTACTCCCTCGGTATGAAGAACAGACTCACTCCCTTGGTGTGATTCCCTAGAGCAGTTTATTGAAAGCATGATGGTGTGACTCACTCAGAACTTACTGGCACTTGTAAGAGACAAATCCATCTCTGGGTTGCTGTGCTCCATTACTGCAAGACAAGCAGCATAGTACAGCAGAAAGGTCATGAGCTTTGGAGTTTGCAAGGCCCAGGATGAATGGAGGAGCTGACCCAGGCCCTAATCCCTGGGCCTTGGTCTGTCACTAACCCGTCTGGGCCTCAGGGTGCTCACCTGTAAAAAGGTGGGTGCAATCCTACCTCATGGATAGTCAGGAGTATCTCATGAGGGAATACTTGTGCATGGCCATTTTTCTGGGCCACAGTTCCTAAACCACATATGGAAACTGTCCTTGATATTAGATATTAGATTAGATTACCTTGGGAAAGCTCACTGCGAGGTATGAAACCTATGCTAGGTTTTTGAAAACAGTCTTGAAAAATGATTTTGTTTCCCTGTTTCCACAGACAGCTGTTTCCTTCTTACTCTGGGTCTGCCCAGGCTTTCATCACAAATGTCTCTGCTGGGGTTCCATGTCTGAGGAGGCCACCACAAACTGGTGTTCTCAGAGGCCACAGACTGTGGTTTAGGCCCTGGGTCTTTCAGTCAGATTCTCTAGCGCTTGGTGTCTTTGAATCATGTATATCTCCTTACCTTGCGTGCTTACATTTTGGAATTTGTGAATGGCCTTGATTCTAGGTTGAGTTTTGTGTTGGGGTGCAGTTAGTCAGACCAAGCTGAAGATGACAGGAATAACCAGTCACTCCTGCAGGCCTATGGCTTGGAATTCTCCAGTGGTAGTCCTGACCTCTAACAATTACCTCCCCCTGTTTGTTCAGTCCTGGCCCAAGGCTGCAGTGAGGACACTGTGTTGCCAGCAGCAATATGAAGGATGCCAGGGCGGTGGTCACACAGTGACTGTCATGCTTTGTGGAAAAGCTTACAGATGTTCTGGGACAGCCAGAGAAACCTGTTTTGTTTGTTTGTTTTTGCTTGATTCCAGGTATTTGGGGGCAGATGACTAATATTTGCTAGGTTGCATATATATGTACATAAATCTTTTCCCCTCCAGCCTTGAGCTTAAATATTAAAGATGACAACCCTTATTATTATTCAAAACTCTAAGTAAAAGAGAATTCTCCTTTTGTGTACTCAAGCAAAATGACTTAATCAATTTCTCCTTGACTTACAAAAAGGGAATTTGAAGTTAAAGTTCATGCTGTAGAAGGCACTACGTAGGAGACTTTTTTCTCCCACACTGCACATCAAACTGACTTTTTATTCAACTGTGAATGATATTGGGATAATTAAGATAAGCCTCTGAAACGTTGGATGAAGACAAACAGGAATTCCACATACATAATTAAAAGAGAAATTTTTGGATGTTTATTGTCAGTGAATGCATTACACAATTCTGTCTTTGTAAATAAATTACTGTCATGCATTATGTCTACATAGCATTTTTCAATTCATCCATTTTCCATAACATAGAGTAAATGTTCATCTAAACAGAACAAAACAAAAAGCAAAACAAAGGAAAATGGGGACTTAACTGTAGGTGTCCTCGTTTAAGAATGATGTCCTTCCCTTGCAACTTGGAGTAAAATGAGAGGATATTGGACTCGTTTTATGCTTTTTCTCTGCTTCCTTAAAGATCATTCAAGGTTTGGACTCTGATAAACTTTAGCTTTACCCGGTGGCATGGGAAGGATTCTGGAGACTGGGAGAGAAAGCTGCGAAAAGGCAGCAAGCACAGTGCAGGACAGGATCTGCCTAAAAGGATGGTAGCAAAATGCGCACTTGCCAGTGTGAGGGTGATGACACCTGAGGCCTTACCACTCCAACAGGTACCAGCGGGCCTACATCCCTTAGGGGGTCTCGTCAGAAATGCATTCTTCAGTGCCGCCTGACCTACTGAGCCAGCCTCAGCATTTGCTAATGAAATGCCCGTTAGCCTGGAGGAAGCACTGCTTCATGGGATATTTGCCATCAGCTAATTCAAACTTTTTATAAAAGAAGGAAGGGACTTATCCAAGGTCACTGAGTGGCAACGTGACCACTTACTGTTGCTTGTAATATCCTCTGCTTATTTGTTTGACCTCTCCAGCACTTCTTAAATTCCCACTACTGCTATAATCCCTTTTAAATTCCTATTACTTCTGATTTACATTTCTTTTTTTTTTTCCCTTGGTTAATATTGCTAGAGTTTTTCCCCCAAAAACACTAACTTTTGGCTTTGTTGAGCCTAATACGTATTTTGTATTTCATTAATTTCTGCTTTTATTTTTATCATTTTTCTTTCATTGGGCTTATGTTGCTATTTTCATCTAATTCTTAAGTTGGCTCTTCGGCTTATTAGGTTTTAGATTTTCTTCTTTTCTAATATAAACATCTAATGCTATAAATTGTACTCTATCATTTTTGCTGCATCTGACAAATTTTGAAACAGAATTTTTAGTTACTGTTTAGCTCTGAATATTTCATGATTTTGATTGTGATTTTGTTTTTAATATATGAACAAATTCTAAATGTTTTATGTACACTTCCATATGCATGGAGCTTCATAGTTATCTTTTTAATTTCCAATTTAATGAAATATTTTTGTGACTAGACTGTGGTACATGATATCAATCTTTTGAAATATTTACCAAAATAGGTGTTAAAATTTCCCAAAGAAATGCTGAACTTGGTGGTTTCTCCTGCAGAGCTGTCAATTTTTGTTTTATATATGTATATGAGGCTCTGTTATTAGTTGCATTCAGATTTAGAATTGTTACATATTTCTGGAAAATTGGCCATTTCATCATTCATTCATCATGGCCTTTATCACTAGTAATGCTTTTCATCTTAAACATCACTTAGTGTGATATTAACATCACTTGAATTCTCTTTTGGTTAATTTTTTTTAGTATAGGATTTTTTTTCATTCTTTGACTTTTAATCTTTCTGTACTATTATGTTTAAGAAGTATCCCTTTGACACAGCCTGGACTTTATTTTTTGTTGAGTCTGATAATCTCTGTCTTTTCATTGAAAAGTTTAGTCCTTTTACATCTACATGATTACTAACAAAGTTGGATCTTTATCCATCATTCTCATTACATGTTTTTTATTTGTTCTACTCTGTTCCTGTTTTTTGTCTTTCTTCAAAATATTTTCTTCTTTTTGTCATTCCATTTTCCCTTCCTCCACTTATTTGGAAATTAGGTGCAATGTCTCTTTGTTTGGTGCTTACTCTAGTTAGCTTGCATGCATAACAAAACTTAAAGTTAATAACATTAGGGCGCTGCTGAGAAACTTTGGAAGTTCGAACTCCAGGCTTGCTCCTCCCCACTTGTGTGCTACTGTTGCCTATTATTTAATCCTAATCTTTTCCCCACAGACCAAGTATTACTGCTATTATCAATCAAGTGGAATTGTTTGTCTATGGGTGTGTGGGGAGTGCAGAAAGGTAGAGGGGAAAGTGAAGAAACATGATAGAAATTATGGGTGAAAGCCAGTTAAGACTTGTTAAGGACTGTAGACTTTGTCTTGAAACTAGGAAGCCCTAAAGGTTCCTTTTTGACTTTGAGAAAACTTACCCTGGTTGGAATATGAAGAATGGAAAAACGAAGACCTGAAGGAGGAAAACCAGTAAGTGCTACTGTAAGCCTTGGGATGAGTTACACTGGCACGGTGACATCAGGACAGAGAGAGGCGGCAGCTTCCAGAACGCCCTAGCTGTTCAGTGGGTTGAATTTGGTGAGGGGCTGGATCTGGTGGGTGCAGAAGGGGAAGCCAAAGATTGCACAAGATTTCTTATTCAAGTGGAAGTCATGAAATATGGTAGGGAGATGAAGAGTTGACTAGATACGTATCTCCTTAGGCTTATGAAAGCTAGAAAATTGGTGTGTGTGTAGAAACTTGCACGAGCCCTTCCAACAATGGTAGCTCCTTTCAGAAGACCTATGTCTTCAGAATCCTAGGTGTGGAAACAAAGCTGGGCTCCTTGTTCAAAAGACATTCTTGGCTTCAAAGTGGAGACCAGGCAAGGGCTGGAGTTCAGTTTCCATGTTTATTCCCTGCCTCAGCTTCGGCACACTCGGACCATTGCACTTTTTCCATGACCGTGGCCTTCTCAAAGGTTTAATGCTATTGTATCAACCTGCCAGCATCTCTGCACCACTTTTGCTCAGAACACAGCGCAGGGCTCCCAACCTTGTGCACACTCCATGCATCCTGTCTTGTGCATCCGCAGCCAGAGGCGCCCATGCAGCCTCTTCCCCTTGTTGCCTTCCTGCACCCCAATAGCTGGGTGTATCCTGAAAGTGCAATTTTTGTTGGTCTCCCTTTACCAAAACACATCCACGAAGGAGATGAGATTGCAATGGAGCTGAATTCTATCAGAAACCCGTCATCCGTAGAGGTTTTGGAATAGAGGTTTCTAAGTGCCAGGATAGTCAATGAAGTGGCATTGTCCGTCTGAAATAATTCTCAGTGCCAAACAATAGGGGGATGTAGAAAAGATTAAGATCTACACATGATGACACAGATGAGCTGCTTTCAACTCTAGCAAGCTCAACACCACTTTTTTATAGAAACAAATATTTCTGTAATAAATAAATAGAGTAATAGCCCCATTTGTTATCCCAAAATCAAATTCGTAGGTCATATATCTACCCAAGTGCATAAATTTTTAAAATTGAGGATTAATTGACATATAACATTATATTAGCTTCAGGTGTACAACATAATAATTTGATATGTATATACAGGGAAATGATCACTATAATAAGTCTGGTTAATATCTGTCATCATAGATAGTTACAAAATTTTTTTTCTTGTGATGAGCACTTTTAAGATCTACTCTCTTAGCGACTTTCAAATATGCCG